AGGAACTATTTTCTCTTTTTCACTTACTTAACACATTACCTAATGAATAATAGAAGCAAGATAAGTATTTGTTAAGTGAACAAATTAATGAGCTTCCTACAACTAAAAAATAATGATGATTCCAATGCAATCATTACTGAATGACCTGGACTAACAGAGCTAAATATATTTATATTCATATATACACACACACACACACATACACACACACACACTCACATGTATTTCTAAGGCCCTCTGAACTGGGTTTAATGTGTGGGATGCCTGTTACATTGCCTGAGGTAGGTAGGGGTCACCAAGTCTCGAAGCCATGAGTGTGCATGCAGACAACGGTGTTGGCCACCCAGAAAGGCTTACCTCTCCAAACCAATTGCTTGGCACAGAGAATGGAGCTTGGAGTTGTACAGAAGTGCAAAGCTGTGTGTCCACTTAAGGAGTAGCAATTGAGCTTTGCTCCGTGGTCACAGAGGATCTTTACGCAATCCAGGTTGGCCATTTCACAAGCCACGTGAAGAGGCGTTTTCCCATTGGGTCTACAGTTGATTGTAGCATTGTGGTCTAGTAGCACCAGAAGACACTCCACATGACCAAACAAGACAGAGAGGTGCAGGCCTGTTGCCCAAGAAGACTTTAATTTATAACTAGGCAACCAATAACCTGAAAAAGAGGATTTTACAAAGTGTTTTATTTGGATCACATTTATAAAATTGGGGGAAAAATAACTCAGAGGTTTTAAACTAGTCGCTGATGGGTCTGCAAATGTTCTGTTTAATAGTGTATTTTGATGCATTTAACTGTGACAGGCTTTCTCAAGTTCTCACTGTCTCTACTATTCCTTATTAAGGTATTTTGTTTCTTTATTTACTTTACCTATTTGGATCTTGAAGGCATTAGAATTTGGGACCTTCATTATGTGATCGTATTTTATAAATAAACATGTAAAACATGGTAAGTTACATGAGACTTTTCAGGAATTTTTTTTTTAATTCCCAATCATTGAGGATTTGTCTTGAATGATTCCAAAACTGTTATTTACAAGCTTATAATTTTTATTACACCCCTGTTCTTTTTTCCTACTGTTGTTATTATCAAATCCAAGGTGTGACTATGTTTAATCTTTTTAAAAAATTTATCGCACCAAGATTTTATTTACCTACCTGTTGGTTTATACAATATCTCTTTCCAAAGAAGAATTTAAGGCAATTCAAAATTTTTACACAAAACAACATATTTAAATGATCTAGGAGATAAGGGCAAAGAGAATCAGGAATATAAAAAGAGGTCAAAAGTAAGATATGAGGCCGGGCGCAGTGGCTCACGCCTGTAATCCTAGCACTCTGGGAGGCCGAGGCGGGTGGATTGTTTG